AAGGAGTGCATCATTATCGACCCCGTGCTCGAGCAGGTCGATCGCGACCTCAAGGCCATCGATGCGCTCGGGCTGACGCTGACACTCGCCGTTAACACTCATTGCCACGCTGACCACATCACGGGTACCGGCGCGATGAAGCGGCGGCTGGCGGGCCTCAGTTCCCTCATCTCCAAGGCGTCCGGCGCAAAGGCCGATCGCCACTTGAAGCCCGGCGAGGCGGTGCGCTGGGCCGGCGGCCGTCGCACGCTCGCGGCGCTCGCCACGCCCGGGCACACGCCCGGGTGCATGTCCTTCTTCGACGACTCCATCGGGTGCGTTTTCACGGGTGACGCGTTGCTCATCGGCAGCTGCGGGCGCACCGATTTCCAGCAGGGCAACCCTGAGGTGCTGTACGATTCGGTGCACGCTAAGCTCTTCAGCCTGCCCGAAACGACGCTCGTGCTGCCCGCACACGACTACAAGGGACGCGCCTACTCCACCATCGCCGCGGAGAAAAGCAGCAACCCGCGGCTCAGCAAGAGCAAAGCAGAGTTTCTCGAGATCATGCGAAACCTCGAGCTGCCCTACCCCGACAGAGTCCTGACAGAGTCCTGACAGAGTCCTGGCGGGGTCCTGACGGCGCACGGTCTTCACAGTGCTCACAAGTGCCTCCGACGAGACCTCCACCTTCCTTCACTGCAACCCTCCTTCCCCTCCCCCCCAGCAGTGAATGATAGACGCCCAGCCCCCCTTTCGACCGTGCGCGCCCTCTGCGGAATCGTCCTGATGGGGCAGTCCTGACGCAAACTTGAGAGTCCTGACAAGCAAACTTGAGAGTCCTGACAGAAACTTGAGAGTCCTGACAGAAACTTAGAGTCCTTACAGACAAAAGAAATCACGCTCACTCTCGCGCCACTCGGCTCGACCATGAAAGCGCACAAGCAAGAGAGGCGCGGCCATGGTGCAGGCAACGTTACAGCCGGCAACGTGCAAGAAGGCAGCAAAGCTCGGCCACGACGTCCATGGCCCGCGCCCCCCCGATTTGCCACCGGCGGCCTGCAGGCCAGCGCCGAGCAGCGGACCGACTGCTGACCGACTGCTGACCGACTGCTGACCGAGGCAGCGCCCACGGCAGCGCCCACAGCAGCGCCCACGGCAGCACCCACGGCAGCACCCACGACAGCGCCCACGGCAGCGCACACGGCTTGGCTGGCCATGTCAGCCGCGCAGGGACCCTCCCGCGGGTCCAACCCGAAGCGCTCGACCGCTCGACGGCGCAAGTCGGCTGACGGAGCGAGCCGCATAGCCCTCCAGTGCTCACCGCAGGATCAGGCCCGACCGGCCCACGCTCACGGCCTGGCCTGCCTGTGGACCAGCAAACTCGTTGGCTGTACGCGAGCAAAGAGCTGCGTGGCTGGGTTGTGAGCATACCGTCCCCGTTGCGCCCTTTCCCTCAGTGGAGGGCCGTCCCTGCCCTCGGGAGTAACTCGACTGTACACCCCTCCCTACTCTCTAGCTAAGGGCTATGTTCACAGCGGGGGGGCAGTGGTTGTCCTGGCGGAGTCCTGGCGGAGTCCTGACAGAGTCCTGACAGAGTCCTGACAGAGTCCTGACGGAGTCCTGACAGAGTCCTGACGGCCTATTTTGGAGGTTTTCAACTTTGAGGTATTGTTACTAAGTGAGGGTGAAATGAATGAATCAGTTCTTTGGGACAGTGCAATCCTTTTAATTATTACCTCCAACTCAAAAAAAGTCTGATGTCAAACGGACAACGGGGTCCCTTATGGTGGCCTGTAATGCCACTGCCGGGGACGCGCAGATGCGACTCCCGGGCCCGCTCACCTCACCCGAGCCCCGCCGACCAGGCACGGCCCGACGAGAACCCGCCGGGAAGGAGCTGGCCGAGCCATCGCCGGCCTCCCTGCCGGCTCATGACCGCTCAAAAGGTCGCTCACCCGACCGTCGCTTGCCGCCCCTCTCCCAGCCTTTGCCGGCGCTTTTGCACGAACCTAGGGCTCAGTTCCGTCTTCCTCCCCCTCGCTCCTGTAGGTAGGCCGCCCCGCGCTGGCGGGAAGAGGCTCGCTGAGCCATCGGCGACGTCCCGGCGAGCTCACGGCCGCTCAAAAGGTCGCCGACCCGCCCGTCGCTTGCCGCCCCTCTCCCAGCCCTTGCCGGCGCTTTTGCACGAACCAAGGGCTCAGTTCCGTCTTCCTCCCCCTCGCTCCTGTAGGTAGGCCGCCCCGCGCTGGCGGGAAGAGGCGCGCCGAGCCATCGGTGACGTCCTGGCGAGCTCATGTCCCCCCAAAAGGTCGCACCGACCCGTGGCTCCGCCGTCGGCTCCGCCGCGAGCGGCGACGGTGAGGCCGCCGGTGCTCGCCTCTACCGGCTAGTGTGGAGCTCTCAGTGTGGTTGCGTGTTTTACTAGTGATGCTGCACTAGGCGGCCCGTTTTTAGCAAAAACCAGATACCACATCGCGTGTGGTCGTCGAAAAACCGCATGTTCGCCCGTCTGAGACCTCTTCGTACGGCTCCAAAAAACGCTCCTTAACGACGACTACGCGGCCCTGCGGTCGATCTGCGCCTTCTCAGCGGTGGAGGGGATGTGGGCGGTACGTGCGGGCCGCGTGGTGCTGCGACGGTTTGACGAGTGCGACTCCCAGCGTGGACTTTTCAACCCCACGGAGCTTCTGCTGCTCCGGGGGGGGGGGGGGGGGTCTGCAGACCACCCGGCCGAACTTCAGAGTCGCGGTGCTCCTCAAATACCGCTCAAACGCCCACGATGTTGTGGAGGGGACATATGCTGATGATCCTGGCCCGATTGGTTCGCTCAGAAAGCGTCACTCTGGGTGGTCGTTAAGGCTCGCTCCCCGCACACCGGCCCGGAGTTTGGGTACCCTAGACACAGACCATGTGGGACGCGTCCTGCTTACGGCTTTACCCAGCCTTCGAGTGTATATAAATATATCCCTGTCCGCTGTGGTCCCACTGGCGCTCCCACACCCACTGGTGTCCATCTCAGAGACCGCAGGAGGTCATGAGGGTCTCGATGGGAGTGCCAACCCAGTCCCACACAATGCCTAAAAACCCAGCGCCCAGTAGGGAGTACTTGTTAGCCTTAAGGGTTCCCACAGGTGTGAAGTGAGTGAAACACACACGCACGCACACGCGCGCTGCACGCACCGCCTGTTCTCCGCGGCTGAGTGACACGCCGTGCCGTGTGCCAGCAGAGTTGGGCGCGCGCGGCGCGACGGCGCCCCGGAGGGAAGGCGCGGGCTGCCCCGACGATATGCCCCCCCCCCCCCCCAAACCGTCGTCAAACACCGCCACGGGGTGGGCCACGCCCCTTCGCGCCGGTCGAGGAGGAGAGGGCGTCAAAGGCGGACCCCTCGCGGTAGAGAAAGGTGGCGATAGCGTGGGACGTGAGCAACCCACCCGCGGGCGCAGCGTGCGAGAAAAGCATGTAGAAGGTGGCCCACCGCAGCAGCATGTGCAGATAGGCGTGCGACATTGCGCAACCCCATTTGCCGTGCGCCTCGCAAAAATACAGCAGCTGCTGGCGGTGCGCGGCGCTCGGCCGCACGGAGGTCACGCCGGCAGCGGCAGGGTCGACAATATCGATCAGCACCGCTGTCGATGAGAGCGGCAGCGCGTCCGCCTCGGTCGCACCGTCGGCGGTGCGCAGGCGGAGCCTTAGCTGCGCGGCGGCGGCGGGCGCTACGCAGAAGCCGAGGCTCTCAAGCGCGTGCGGGAGCCAGACGCGCGCCGCGACGGCCTAGAAATAGTGGCGACGAGGCGCAGCCTTCATTCAAAGGACCGCCCAACCAAGCGACTATACTACGGGCACAGGGGACGCGGCCTAGCTGTCTCGCCAAAGTCCATAACAGAGGGGCCGGGGGCGGCGCACCACACCGCGGGCGTCGATCACGCCGACACCGTCGAGGAGGCGCGCCTCCACCGCCACACTGTTCACCGCGCTGCCGGCGCAGCCCGCGCCCGCCGCCGCTATTACCGCGGCGGCGGGGGGAGCCAGAGCCGGCTCCAGCCACTCCTCGGGGGCCGGGCCGAGGGCGGAGGCGGCCGCTGCATTGCGCTGAAGGAAGGCGCGCCCGGTCCTGGCGAGGTATGCAACGTGCTTGGTGTTTAGGGCATAGTCGACGCACTTCTTCACGACGGAGCACATGCTGCTCCTCCCCGTCATGAGGTTGGACGAGCGCTCGCCGTCCGCGGCACACCGCGTGATCCATTGCGTGTGTGTGTGTGTGTGTGTGTGTGTGTGTGTGTGTGTGTGTGTGTGTGTGTGTGTGTGTGTGTGTGTGTGTGTGTGTGTGTGTGTGTGTGTGTGTGTGTGTGTGTGTGTGTGTGTGTGTGTGTGTGTGTGTGTGTGTGTGTGTGTGTGTGTGTGTTTGTGTGTTTTGGCTACACGGCACAGCGCCTGATCCATCCGCGCAGGTCTGATTGCGTCCACCGCCGCTTGAAGAAACTGGTGGCGTTGAACGCGGCGGCTGAGCGCAGTGGCGCGTCGTCGATATCCTCCCAACGCAGGAAGAGCTTGAGGTGTTGAAAGCCCAGAATGTGGCTCAGGTGCGCGCCCGTGTTGTAGCCCTGCGACGGCAGGAACGCCTCCACCACCGCGGCGCGAGCCGGTGGCATGAAGATCTGGTTGATCATGCCGGCGCCGTGCACGCACACCAAGAGCGATGAGCGGCGCATCAGCGCGAGTAACTCGGCGAGCGGCATCCGCTCGGGCGTGAAGGCGCGCGCATCAAAGCCGGTTGCACGCAGCGCGCCGAGCACCTCCGCCTCATTGTGGACGACGCGTTGAGGCCGACGCAAAATTCTCGGCCACCGCTGCAGCAGCAGTGCTTGCGGGCGTGCTGGTGCTGCCGGCGCGGGCACCGCGAGCCAGCGGAAGGCGGCACGCCGGAGCGAGCGCACAGCAAGGTAGGCATCGCTCGCCCTCCCAGAGTGGAACTGAAAACTGTGCACGATGCGCGAGTCGGCAAAGCACTGCTTCCGCAGCGATCCGCTCTCGCTCGTGAAGCAGCGCTCGGGCGACGGTGGCACCGGTCTGCCGCAGCGCCATTGGTGCTGGCGGAAGTGGTCGGTAAGTGTGGCGATGTGCAATTTGCCACGAGCCGGCCCAGCTGGCTGCCACGTGAGGTTGCACGCAGCATGCTGCAGCGCAAGCGCCGAGATGACTGTGCTGAGCGTCTCGAAGGCGTTGTTGTCGTTGATCGTGGTTAGCCACTGCAATTTCACGGCGGTGTGCTGCGAGTCGTGCATTTCCGTTCAGTACGCTTCCCGCGAACCGATGGAGGCACGACTCGAGAGATTCGCGTGTGAAGAGCACTGATGCCGCAGTGAGTATTCAGCACACGCGCCTCTGCTCGCAACCACTCATCCAATGAACTGTCCGTCACCCAGATGAGTGCGAGTTAGGGCTAGCCGCTGGCGGGTAGCCCGAGAGGAGAGCGTCCATAGACGCCTCACAAGACCCCACACACGGTCTCGTCCGTGCCTTGCGGCCGGCGACGAGATTGCTAGAGGCGGAGCAAGCCTGCTCTAGTCTCACACGTTCGCCCCTGTCGCCTGTCTGTGTTGTTGTGCTGTTGTTTGTCTCTTGGCGCCTTGGAGTGCTGGGGGGGGCGACAGGGGGGACGTGGCCTGAGTGATGTGTACGCCCACTCAGGATGTGTGGCAGCCCGCTGGCTGTGTGTCTTGTGAGCTTGTTTGTGTCTGTGTGTCGCTCGTGCGTGTCGTCATCATCTGTCTTGCGTCCACCCATACCGCGTTGGTGTCCAGTCCGAGCCTGACTGTTCTTCACCTTACTACATACATACATACAGTGAGTGAGTGGTCGTGTGTGTGTGTGTGGGGGGGGGAAAAAAAGAGTGTGGCTCGGTGTACACACGCGCGCGGTGTGTGTGCGCGCGAGAGAGATGATGGACACGCGCGCGCGAGACACACACACACACACGCGC